ATCCTTCCATGATTCATTTATTCGTTTCTATGATTAATTGGTCCTAGTATATGCTAGGGATTCGAAACCACCATCAACGTTGATTCTAAATAGTCCTAGGAAGAGGCTATCGACGAAGCCATTGAGTCTAACCAACAGGTAGTTCCAGCTGGGACTTGAATTGATTCCGAGTTCCTTCACATCTTTCTTACACGTAGTAAATAAAAAAACAGGAGTTTTGACCTGTCGGCAAATTTTTTCAATAGGTAGGAAGTTGATTTTATAATACTTAACGGCCAGCGGGATGGATAACAAGCCATGGCCGACAGAAGGATTCTCAGCATCAAGCAGATTCTCCTCACCGAAGCCCATCCAACTTATATGCCCTCCACTTCACAGCTTTGCGATACAAGCAATAAAAAATGAACTCGAATAAGGCAGTTTATTGGTTCCTTTCAAGCAAAATGCATCTGACCAAACATCATCGAATGCGTATCCAGAATTCAGGAGCGATATGCAAAAAATGCAAGGATAAATTTGGTCCTTTTCACAATACCTTTTTACCGTTTTTTGTCAGTTTCTGAATTCACTGGCAATTAAAAAAAATCGAAGATTAGGATCAAATTCAAATTTAGCTTTCATTAACAATTCTCGGATACGAAACTATCATACATATAAGCTAGTAACGCATCTTCCGGAAGAAGCTAGTACCTTTGCAACATCACCGGATTTGTGTATGAATTATAACAGCTATCTGGATGCATACCAATCTGAAACAAACATCTGTAGCGTAAAGGACTAAATTAATTCTGCTCATTGGCTCACATCTGGCGTGCTGTCAAGGAAGGCAAGAGATTGCCTCAGAATATTAAGATTTCTGGAATTACATGGACCCTTGGCGCAGTGGTTGGATACCAATAAAGCAAATCTCACTTCTAAACAGCTGCTTGGCCCTGTGCCACATATATTCTGTATACTCAGCCCGTTGAAGATGCATCTATTCTATACTTTTTTAAGCGCAGGAAAAGTTCGGCTACGGGACCCAAAACGAAATGTTTGTGGTTTATGTTGCATGACAGTGACCTGCGAGCCATACGAGCTGTATTCACGGGCCTTGTATCGCTGCTCGTTTTTTGTTCGCCAATAGCAAAATATTACGATGCAAGCACCAACGATGAACACAAGAAGTACGAAGCCTAACAAAACAAACACTCCAGCCATCCTGAAATTTAGCGTATACGCATATTTCAAAGGTGTCAAGAAACGCTGGAAAAAAAAACAACAGTAAAAAAAATAAATGCTGGCGCACGCCATAGCCCGGAACAGTTATAGCTGTGGGCTCACACTGCGTGAGTACGAGGAAACACAGAAATTTGTTTTTTCTCGTTATTATGCTTTTTTTTCGGCATATTCAGCAAGACTATTAAGAGAGTCCACATAATCACAATCTATTGATGATGT